TCCAATAGTGGGATGGGGGGGGGGGCTCAGTCTCCTGCCTAAGATGGATTGCATATCCTGGGTATAAGCACAAATATTTGTCACCTTTAAAAAAGCTACTCTATTAAAGTCTGTCTGCCATTATGGATTTTTCACAGTGGTCTCACCTGAAATTGGCACCTCATCCCTTGTTTCATCCAACCTCACACTGATGTCCTCCAGGAAGGCTAAAAATACATCTCGGGGAATACAGATACACCTGAAGGACACCACTTGGAGAAAATTGGTCTTATAGTCTCAGCTATGACATTCTTTTAAGGATGCCAATAGTTACATAGATGTAGCTCTGATTAAAGAAACCTTAAAGAAACTTAAAGAAACTAGCCATTGGGGAAATTGAACTACAATTTCCTTAATCTGCAATTGGTAGCTCAGTGTAGGCTCAGGATGATATGGTCCAACCTATCTGGAAGCCCAGTTCTGCTTTGAAAATTACCACAGATATAGACCAACTGACAGACAACTAAGGAAGGTTTGTTTAGGACATCATACTGTTTATTTTCAGATTTCTATGGGCATTTCAGAGATGAGGCTCTGGAGACAGGGCTGGCCCTGGCATCTCCTCATGCATCTCCTCTTTTCCCACCAGATGCTGCCAGATGTGTTAGCCTTTGAGACTGATAGTTCCCAAGTATCCGAAGGGTGCTAAATGTCCTAATGTGATCTATTCCCAGTTATCCCCAGAAAAAGGCAAAGATGGTGAGACTCACAACGCAGCAACAATGAAGAACAGCGCTCCTCCTGTAATCCCACTCATTTTCCAAGCTGCCCAATCAGCTTCAGGGGGTGGAGCCCTGGAGGAAACCCCTAGGGTAAGAGGGTTTTCCACTGTCATAGGCAGTGATGGTGGTGATGACAATAATGATGATGATGCTGGTGACAGTAATGGTGGTGGAACCAGTGGTGGTGGGCGGGTAAACAAGGTGATCGTCTCTCTTGAAGGTAGCACTGATAGAAGAAGAGGGCAAGATGGGAAATAAAGAGACATCAGGGTGGGGATTAGGAGTTTGGGCTCCTTTTTCCAGTGTGGAAGAGCAGTAATTCTATCTCTTTAACCTTCAAGCTCTAGACCAGTGTTTCTCAACCTTGTCAACTTTAAGATGCATGGACTTCAATTCCCAGAATCCCCCAGCCAGCATGCTGCCTGGGGAATTCTGGGAGTTGAAGTCCACACATCTTAAAGTTGACAAGGTTGAGAAACACTGGTGTAGTCAATTCGTTAGGTGAATGGCTTGAAAACTCTGACACAAAGCAACCTACTTTAAAGGAAAACTTATCGGATATACAAAAGGCAGATGGAGGGACACCACCTTAGAAAAGAAATGTTCTCTTCATTATCCCAGGGTTGAAAAGGAGTCTCTAAAGATGGCCCAAGGGGTATTTTTTACATTGCAATGCCTGCAAAAAAGGGCAGGGCTTCAATCACATGGTTGTGCCCACCATTTTGATTTTTTCAACCTCCTCTCTGCAGACAACCCTGAAGATGGCAGTCAGCTGCAGGAACCTTTGCACAAACCATGTAGAGATGCCTTATTTTCTTTTCCCCTTCAGAACTCTCAATGACAGACAAGGAAGTGAAGATTTAATCAAGCGTTAAAAACCAGTTCCCTAGAAACCAAAGTTTGATTTCACAGACTAAAGCTACAAGCTTACATCTGTGCTAGGAGGCAGGAAGGCAAGCAACGTGTTAGGCTCTGGTGTTTTGCATCCAGGCAGTCTCAACTGCATCTTTTGCTGCTCAGTGGATTCATTTTCACTGAGAGAGGGATAGGGTTGCAGCCTCTCCACAGTCACAGTTTCTCCATTTCTAATGGAAATGAGGAAAGAGCAACTCTCATGGGGGGCCACTCTATGTACCCACTGCCCACTCACAATCTGCCCTGCTCACGCATGTATGTACCCTCCCAAGAGTTTCACAGGGACCATAAAAAACGAATGACCACTAGATGGCAGCAAGGAGTTAGGGTTTTCAGTATCTCTTTGCTGACATCTAGTGGCCACCTAAATGCCTGCAGCCCAAGTATCATAGTCCTAAGGTGGTCACCCATCCCTGTGTAACAGAATGAGTCTCACTGAAGTCGGTGGAATTTCCTTCTGATTAATATTGCTACACAGCATGATAGAGTTAATCCAGGCCCATATGCATTGCAGGAATATTACAGGAAACTGCTTTGAACTGAGTTATTCCTAAAACTGGCAGCAGCTCACCAGAAGCTCAGTTGGGGGAACTCTTATTCATTGCCTGCTTATCTGGTCTTTTATATTGCAGATTCCTAACCCGAAAATGGTAATAGCTACTTATTAGTTTGCACCTAGCAGCAGCATGGATGGGGGTGGTCAAAATGAACAAGATGGCAGATGCAGCCTGCCCTGCAGTCTGCATGTACAATAAAGGCAGGACTTGCATTGTGAAGTTGCACCCCCTTTCTTGCCTGTTTTATCCACCTGCTGGTTGCATCCCCAAAGAAAGTATATTTCAGGACTTCTTAACACCCATTTGTTATGTTGCCTCTGTTTAGTAAGTGCAATTTTCAAATAACGGGAATTCAGTGATGATGACTGCCCGTTATATGGCACAAATAAGAAACATGGCTGCAAGTGGCCAATATGTTTGTTTTGGGCTATATTACTTACTTAGAAGTATTGGACTGCAATTCCAGTCTTGGAGAGCATCTAGTTGGGAAAGGCTTCCAACTTGCTCTACCAACTCGGTCCAGACAATTGATATAGCTTTGCAAGGGCATTTTGATGCCAATGAAAACAGGATTTGGGGCATGGATAACCCCAGTATGACTCATGACCCTATCATGAATTCTTTGAATATGTTGGGGGGAGAAGGTTCTCTGAACCCCAGCTGAGATGAAGTTTCTTGGGAAATTTTCCAGCCCTGATTCACTTCACTCACCTACAACTTGAAATTCAATCTGGCTGGCAGTATATCCCTCTGCATCTATCATTTTACATCGGTATCTGCCTGCATCTTTCATGCTGGCTTCCTTCTTGGTCAGAAAGGAGTCTGTACCACTGGCCATCAGCTGCTCTTTATCATTCACCATCTGAGAAGAATAAGACCTGAAAAGAGCTGAGTACACATCATTTCTGTGTCAGCCTAAGAGGGTTGTAGCCACCCAGGGTGAAAGAATGGATGGCAATACAAGCTCTCCATTGAAGAGCAGGATAATTCAATATATTGGTTCAGTGTGGAAAGTCAACATTCAAGAGCTAAGGAGACAAAGGAGATAGGGAAGTAGGCTTGTGTCAGAGAAACTGCTTGTTGGGGACCACGCCTACCCGGAAGAACTTATATGTCTTCACTCCATGGCTTGCCTTATGCCATTTCAGAGCACAATCCAAAATCAGATCATCATCTGTTTCCACTCGAACGTTCCGTTCTGCAAAATCCAGCATGTTATATTCTACTGTCAGGCTGTGCCAGCTGCTGCTACCATAAATTGAATCTATACATTTATTAAGCTTTCTTGACCAGTTACCCTACCTGAAAATTTCGTGGGCCCACAATTTAGACAGGATTTAGACTGGATTCTATACCTCTCAGTCCAACTAGGCCCCATTATCTACTAACCCAGCTCAAAACGGCATGAGCCAATTTTGGGTCTGCCCTACCAACACTCACCTCCACAATGGTAGTTCTTGGAACATGACTGTTGATTTGTCTCACATGAGAAGCAACTGATAAAAGCATACACCATCCGACCTGTAGGATGGGAGTTGAATCAGAGGAGGAAAAGAAGAGAGAAGTGAACTTTTTGGGTGTAAAGCAGAAGAAAACCAGAAAAGTGGATACAAGGCAACAGGTAGAAAGCATAGACATTCCTAATGCAGGGTTTTCCAGGTGTCCTGGAATTGCATCTATTATCCTTAACAAGAATGGTTGTAGTGATGGGATCTGTAGTGATACACATCTGGGGGAACACCAATTTCAGCAAGGCTAGCCACCTGGATGTCAACAAAAGGAGGATGCAACCTGAAATGAGCAATGATGTGCATGTAGAGGCGCCCATTTATTTCAAGAGATAAGGACACAGAAGTCTTCAAAGAGAGGTTGAAGAGTCTTCAGAGATGTTCTAGTGGATCCTACAAGGAGCAGAGGACTAGACTAGAAGCTTCTAAGTCTGGTTCCTCCCAGTTCTATGATTCTATATGCAATGGATACTCTCTTCCCCAGGCTGTGCCTCATTCTTGTGCCTTGGAAAGCAAATTGCTATGCTGAAATCAGCATGTAAAATGTCTGATGGCACAAACACATCGCTTCTCCCAAGCGTTGGTACATCATCCTGCTGTTAAAGGCAGAACCGCAGGACTCAGATGAGCAGTTAGCAGACCTAGTAGCATCATTGCAGAAAAGCCTTGGTCATACTGCTCAGTTTTGGAAACAGAAGATCCTGGGCTCAGTTCCTTCTACGTTTTGCTAAAAGGCCATTTGCAACTCAAAAATGGTGTGCAAAAATACATATAATGACAAACTATGCACAGAATTGTATTATATTATAGGGGAAATCACTTGCCAAAATGTACAAGAAAATGTTGAGGAGAACCATATACAAAATGGGTACCATTTTTCATTCAGAACCCTTCTTAAAAAGCTGATATGTACACTGGGCAAAACAAAGTAAGTTCAAGAAAATGAAAAATGGGACAGCAAAATTTAGTGTGATAGATTTGCCTTCCCCATTGAAGACTCTGGGAGAACAATGCCATTTGACACTGAATAAGTTGCACCAGTATTCTGACTTATAACTGAACTGGAGATGAAATGAATCTACCTATCTATCCTTCCTTCCTTCTTTGCTGCTGTTTGAAACAGTTCTAATTCTGTTCAGGACTGAATATAGAATAAGATTTGGGTGCGGGGGACAGCTCCTAGCCCTGATCAGATGGGGAAAACCACACTCCAAAAAGACCCACCAATAGCATTCCTTTTACCCAGTCTGATACTCACCACAGTCATTGCTGCAATAGACTACAAGCCAAAAGGAGAAAGAAAGAAAGAAAGAAAGAAAGAAAGAAAGAAAGAAAGAAAGAAAGAAAGAAAGAAAGAAAGAAAGAAAGAAAGAAAGAAAGAAAGAAAGAAAGTCATTAGCAACAAATGGTTGGTCTCTTCCAGCCCCAATTCCCTAGCTAGTGCTGATAAAGCCAAACTGATCCTTGAAGTTGACATTTCAGTTGGAGCAAATGATGTCCAAGCAAGCAAATAACCAAGCTCAGAGAGCACAAAGAATTCCACAGTTCGAGTTTACAGTATTAAAATGTACGGTCATAGATCAAACAGAGGGAGAGAGAAAAGCAAGGATGGCTTCTTTGTTGCTAGAGACCTGTAGTTGGTCTTCTGCTGCCAGTAACTGCCATTAAATGAAGCATTCACCATCAGTCTGCTCTCTGCTGCCCCCCCCCCCAAGCTCTCATTTTAGACAGAACCCCAGTTCTGTTTCATTGCAGAGGGTCAAAGTATACTCCACTATATTTTGTGCCCACCTTCACCCTGGACCACCGCACTTGGGTACTATTGTATAGGAGAACTCTTAGTACAATTAGGTAGGAAAGTTTCAAGATTTAAGGAATTTCATTTTTCCTTTGGAATGAGCCAATTCAACCATTCTGTGGTGGTGGGAACCTCATAAATTCTTGGAAATAAGTCATAAACAGTTTTGGAAAGTTTACTTTCAGAAAGTTATAAACCATCTCCAGAATGGGCAGGTTGGCAGCAATCAGCAATAAACAGAACATTGTGGGGAATCCTGGATTATGTTGTATGCAAAACACAGATGCACATGATCATTTAAACTTAGAACCACTTCCTCCTTTTTTCCTTTTTAGAATTAAATATAGCTTACGTTTTGTAAATTGTGGCATGGCCTCTTCAAAATAAGATACCAGTTTCTGGAGGCTCCACATCATTTCATTAAAAAGCTGCTCACCTGCCAGAAAGAGGGAAGATGCTGAGAGGGTGTGATGGAAGAGTTGTAACCTGGGCAACAGGACCGGGTCTGTTGGTGACAAGGCTGGAGCACCCCATGAAATAAATTTAAAGCCAGGGGCAGCCCAAGAAAAGACCTACTGCCTGACATGTGAGGAAAGACCCAGGGCTTCTACCCTTTTGAGGAGACTCCCACTGCTTTGTCACTTGTGTTGTCTTATACACTTTTCAATTTCAGGGATATGGCCAGTCTCCCATGACCAGTCAGCCATACTGCAAGCATCCATCTGAGGGGTTACTCAGAATGACTCTATGTGAAATGGCTTGGGGTATCCCTGGGCGAGGACAAGAAAGTCAAGATGGTGGCCGTGACCACATGAACAAAGACTCACCCCTTTTAGCAGATGTTGCATGTAAAAAAGGGGTGAGGATTTAATTGCACAGTCGTGGCTGCCATATTAACTTTTTTTTACACATACACCATGGATGCTCCTGGAACGTCCCCATAGGTTCTTCAGAAGACTCTGCCAGTTCTTCAGAAGACGTCCCCCACTATCACCCCCAGAAGGAACATATAGAACAAGGAAGCTAACAAAAACCTTAGACCCCATGGAATTTATTTATTTATATATTTATATATCACATTTACAGTAGCTACTCTGGGGGCATAGACTGGAAGACAGCAATGGCAGGGAGACTTATCCTCAATTTTCATCTTGTGCTAGTCCAGTGCCCGAGGTGACTGCTTCATTTGGCTCAATGGTAGCCTTGGTCCTGCCTAGAGTGGGACTCAGATTTAGTCTTGTCTTTGTGACTTCCAGGACTAAATTCTCTTATTCATGGCTGCATCTTGAAAGAAAGTTGGGACAGATACCCAGGGTCCACTCAGTGGACTGAGCAGGAGGGCTTCACACAACAGAGACTTCAAATTAGGTAACTCCCTACTGCTTGTTTCTCAGCGCTAAAACGAATGCATGAGCTATCCTAGAGATTCTACAAATAGGGCTAAGGGAGCAACAGCAAGAGTAACGTTATCGGTGAGTAGCCACCATCTTAAATGGGGGGTTTATGTGGATTTTTAAAAGGAAATTTTTCGTTGAGATTTCTAAAAAAAAGACAGGAAAGTGCAGAAATTTTTATCCAGGTATATGAATGGGGAAAATCCTTTCTTCCCTTGGGTAAGGGAAATTCACAAAACCACCAGATGGTGCTGCTTAGCTAATTCCAAGAGAAAAATATTGTATTGGAATTCATTATGATGATGACATGAGAAAAAGCAGGGAACACGTCATGGGTGGATGAATTTGGCAGCCAAAGCAAAGCTTGCTTGAGGTTTATGGAGGACCTTGCACAGATTCACCCTGTTCTTAATGGATTGCTGTATATCTAAACTCAAAATATTCCTAAGTGCCCTTCAAGAAAAAACAGTCTTATGTATTCCTTTTATGCCCATCGAGTATCATTCCTTTTATCAGGTCTCTACCTTCAAAGTGATTTTCCTTGATCTGGTTCAGAGAGCGTTTGAAGTAGACAGTGAGTTTTTTTAGCGTTAATTCATCTGAAAATAATGGAAGAGAGGAACAATTGTAGGAAAAAGAAAGTAGCCAGCTTCCTTCCTCCCTGATCATGCATTTGTCTTAAAAAGCTTTTTTAAAATCATTTCTCCATATCTAATCCTCATCCACAACTTCCAATCAATATGCCCCTTTGTGAATTTCGTGATCTGAAAACATAAAAGCTATCTCCAAAACCGTTTTCTGGTTCACACAAACATGAAACCCGGCATTGCTGGATTCTTTTTAAGATAGTGTGATGTGTTCCCATTATAGTTCATGCACAGTGTACAGAAAAGGCCAAATCAAGGTTTAAAATCATAGCTTTGCATTATGTGTAACTCTCTCCAAATATTTCCTTAAAGATTTTCATGCAAAGCCTGAATCCATTAAGGAATTGATTATGAACTTTACTAGATCAGTGTTTAGCGCATTTTGATGCACAGAAGTTTTATTTCACACAGGCACACAAACACATGGATATACTTCCAGACATGCGTGCATTACTTTTCCATTATTTATAACCTCAAAGAAATTATCACACTGGTTAAAATACTCTCACAGAACACAGAGATATAAAATAAACCAGTTAATTCAATTCAGTTTACTGGGTTTGATCGCAACCCCGTGGTAATGCACAGACAGTTAGATACTGAACCCAAAGCTGGGTTGGATCCAGATCTTGTCATACTTAAGACCCGTTCAGTTAGGATGACTGACTTCAGTTCCACATCAATGTACACATGGGTGAGGCGTCATACCCACCATCTTGCAGATTTTGACACCTCCCCCATGGAAGCTCCTGGTTATGTTTATTTCAGTTGGCATTCTAACCATGATTAGATCTCAGTTTGATCAGGAGCTTTAACAACAGCACATCTTCAGTGAACTGAAGCACACCTTTCAGTGCTAGAAATGCAATGCAAACCATGATGCAAAATTACATTATTTAAATTGCTCGCATGAAATAGGAATATGGTCAAAGAAAATGAAAGGAGTCTCCAGCCTGCTTCTTTAGGTACTCATTTCTGAATTCAGTCCCCCAAAATGGCCCATTTTAAAAGCTTGTTCTGTCACCTCATTCACCTGCCAGAGCAAGAGAAGTCCATCAATATATCTTCAGCTTGTTTCCCCCCCTTAACTTCCCCAGGCTCAAAGCACGTGTCATCAGGGTTTATGTTTTTGAAGCTTTTATTTTCAGCCCGTCAAGGCAGTTCGCCCTCTGACTTTCCACTTGCCCTTTCTATTCAATTTTGTTAGTTTGTTTATTTATTTATTTATTTATTTATTTATTTATATCTAGGGAACATATAAGGCCACTCATCTTAAATATATAATTCTGGGCAGCTAACTACCCATTCACAATATAAAAGCCTCTACCAGAGAACAATTAAAAATAATCCAATAAAAAAGAAACCAAGGACTATGTAACAAACTCATACTATGTACACATGTGTATTGGGCTCCTCTAACATCCTGGTCCACCCTGTGAAGACCCAAGGGAAAGGCCAGGTCTTTGTGGCCTTCTCAAAAGCCAAGAGGGTCAGGGGGGAGGCTGTTCCGTGGGGCAGGCACCGTGACAGAGAAGACACGTTGGCTTGGTCCCACAAGATAACACAGTTGAATAGGGGGGACCTGGAGCATGCCAGCCTTGTTGGGTCTGGTAGGACAACTGGAGGGAAGTGGTCCTGTAAATAACCTGGCCCCATTTATAATATATGCCTGTAAAACTTGGGGTTTTGTCCCCACCAATTTCTCTAACTTGGCCCTGCCAATGTTCGGGGATGTAGTTGCCCTAGCATGACAAGGCAGCCTTCAGTTCACAAAAAGATTACGCCTCCTGATCTAAAATATTAATCTTAAAAATCAGCATAATTTGGTGACATGACCTCTTTGTTCCATATACAGGTTGCTGTGTAAAATTCAAATTCTGCCCTTAAAAATGCCCCTAGAACCTATCATTGGACTTGGATGTCAGGGTGTGGACTTAGTTATTCCCTTAAGAATGGCTCAGATCCACTCCAGAAAAAATTGAATCTTCTTGGAGAGCTATTGGAAGGAGTGCGTTCGTACCAATAATACCCATATATTTTTTCGGATGTATGGGTTGATTCGATAGCCTCTCTATGACATTGTCCAGGAGCTGCTGCAATTTGGTTTTGAGCTGAGGGTCCTTTTGGAGTTTCTTCTCCAGGTAGCTATTTCTGAACTCTGTCCGAAGCGCCATGGCTTCTCTGCTACATTTTAAGCAGCCATAAGATCCCATGATGACCACAGTCAGAAGCCCAAACTCTAACCAAGACATGACAGTATGCTACAGCTGCCAGAGGGGGCCTTAAACGGCAAAGCAGTGACATCATAACTATGACCTCACAAAGCCCGCATGCTCTTCAAACAATCAGAAGAGTAGGTGACTCTTCCGCTGAAATGTCCCCAGTGTGCTAAACTGTGGTTTGTTTAATCATAATTGGCTGAATAAATCACAACGGGCTGGCTTCACTCATATGTAATGGAAACAGAATATAAACCACATTCTGTTAGCACAAGGTGTGAACATGGCTACAGCAGAAATAAACGTTGCAATGGCCAGAGAAATGCAATCTGTGGCTCAACTTCCAGTTAGCGCCCTCAAAAGTTTTTTAATCTGAAGATGGAGGCAATTTAGCTTCTCTCCTCTCTGATATACTTCTAGGGCTGTCCTTCATATTTAATGTCAGATCTCACTAATAAAACCCTAATGCATAACCCCTGTAGACCTGCATTGGACTATAATTCCCATTTTCCCCAGCCAGCATGTAGACCACCCTGAAGAACAGGAACCTTTGAGCCTAATGTGGAAGCAGGTTCCTCCTTGCGACTGTTTAATAGAAAGGGGTTTTTTAGTGTTGATTCATCTGAAAATAATGGAAGAAAAGAACAATTGTGGGAATATAAAAGTTGTCAGCTTCCTATCTGCAGCCAGCCATGGGTCAGCCAAATGAGTGCGGATTATTCATAACCTGCTTTCAGTGCGTTGAAGTTGACAACAGTGAAGACAATTCTGGCACTTTAAAGCAGCCGCCAGGAGTTTGGAAAGGGAGAAGAGTTTCAGTGTAGAAATGCTCCAAGGTACTAATTTGTGGGCAGGTGAGTGTGTTTGCAATATCTTTGTAACAGAGAGATAAAGAAATATTTTAGATCATGAAATAAGTGTGCAGAATCAAATCATATTCAGTTTACAATATTAATGACCCTATAAGAAAGCCAGAAATCATAGAATTTCCAGATTTTCACTCCAAAACTCTTCTTCTTTTTCTGATACTGGTGTTGTCATTGTTATTACATTCTGCCTTCGTTCCCCAAAATTTAAGGCTATAGAGGCATATAGTTCTGTTCTGCCCAGTTTATCTTGAAAACAACCCTACAAGGTAGGCTCGAGTGAGACAACCTTAGAAAACTGAGTGGAGATTTGAATACTTCAAATCCTAGACCAATGTTTCTCAATCTTAGCAACTTTAAGATTTGTGGACCAACTCCCAGAATTCTCCAGCCAGCATGGCTGGCTGAGGAATTCTGGGAGTTGAAGTCCAAATATCTTAAACTTGGCTGGCTGGGGAATTCTGGGAGTTGAAGTCTGCATATCTTAAAGTTGGCTGGCTGGGGAATTCTGGGAGTTGAAGTCCACATATCTTAAAGTTGCCAAGGTTGAAAAACACTGTCCTAGACCAACATACCAGCTACCCTGTTAGCACACAGATTCCCTCACTTTCTGGTCTGGGCAAACTACCCTCTTCAAAGGGCAAAACCTAGGATCACTCTTATGCTGCAAACCGGAAATGCACATCAGGGTTGAGCCTGGTTTCTTTGCATGCCAAGTGACCATGGAGCTGACAATAACAGGAGAGATCTGCTGCACGTAGGGAGGGAATGTAGAGTGAGAGAAAAATCACCATAAGGGTCACATGCATCGAGTCAAACAATGGTTTGGCTTCTAACGTAGCTTGCTTCCGAAGCGAATCCAACTTTCCCTTAGTCTTCTCCCCCCTCTGCTGACCCTGAGAAGGTCAACTCCCCACAGCCTCCTCTTTCTCCACTTGGGTCCCCTCACCCGCCACGCCTCATAATCTTGTAAATTCCTGGGCTGTGTCCCTCTTTCATCACATCTTGTATATCAGGACTCTGGGGCCACCTGGCCATATGGGGTCAGAATAACTGTGGTCACGGTCTGCTCTGCATTAATTAACCTTTGATCCTTAACGGGCACCCCAGGGGAGAAGAGGTGGGGGAGCCTCGTAAAAACAACAGGGAGATTAATGGCGAACGAGCCAGCAATTTCACTTTCAGAGCTTGGGACAGCTGGGGGGGGGGGGGGGGGGGGGGGGGGG